GTGACCCCATCAGCCATGACACTTAGGACTCCTGGGGACTTCCACTGACTCCAGTGGAAGTCAGGCACAGCACTTAAATTCTTCATGTCTGACTACAGTGGCTACTTCTCAGTTGGATGGAGGCCAAAGCAGCACTCTACAGGAGGCCCACCTCAGGTAACCCAGAGGCCTGGGGAAACCTTATTCTGGCTGCACTTCTCGGGTGGTCCTAAATCATTAACTCCTCCCTTCTGTGGAACAGAAGAGCTGGGGCCTTGGTTTTGTTTGTTGATAATGTTAAGTCCCTGGGCAAAGCAGAAGAAATCTCCACTAATTTTAGTATGTTCCCTACCATTGCTCCTTTGCTACCCCACCCTGTGATAGGCAGGCCGTCCACCAATGCTGCAGCTCCCCCATGGGCAACAGAACAGCCAAAGATTCTTCAGTTGGCCCAACAAGTGGGACCTGGCTATGTTCACAAGGAAGCCCAGCAAAGACTGCCAGGCAGCAGGGCTGTCCTGGACATTAGTCCCCACCCTCCTTACACATGCAGTGGGTGCCTGTGGTGAGGAGAGCCTCCTCAGCACATGAGTGGGCAAGCGTGCGCACCTCTTGGGCCCAGCAATGACAGTCATGGGAAGAGGTCCTCATTGGCCTTGAAGTCTGTTCAGGACCGTGTGGTGAAAACTGATGGCTCCTACGTGCCGTAAGGAGGAGATGGTACAGATGGATGGAAGGATGGGGCTTTCTAATGTAAGCTCAGGGCACGGTGTGGGGTGTTGTGTCTGAAGGCAGCGCAAATGGAGCATGAAGGCGAACTTTTGTGAATTTTTGCAAACCATCTCTCAAGCTTTGAGTATACGGAACCCCACCCACACACGCACACTCAAAGACGTAGCTTAGCAATTACCTAGGCCTGAGTGGACAGAAGGAGTGCCACACCTGCTCACTTATCTCCAGATGAAAGACTTTCTTCTGAATGGCCACAGCCAGGAAGGAACTCTTCTGGAATGTTTCAGTTTTGGGGCCATATTCAACTCATAATAAGGTAGCTTGTCATTGCTAGTGAATTTGGAAAGGGACCCAAAGAGTTTCTACCTGATCGCTGTGCAATCCATCATTTAAGGGACACCGTCTCTACATACACATCATTAGACCTCTATCAGTTAGGAAGATATTTTTGTAAAATATTCTGTATGGATATCACAGCTAAAGATCTTATCTTGGAAAGTCTTGAACCTTAGGATTGTCTCTTGGTTGCTAGCCCTTCACTGCCATTCTCCTGCCTCAAACCAATCCTCAGTGTGTCGACTTACTACTGTCTCATGGCTTTAAAATAGCTGCCTGAGCACCGGCATCACATCTGTATCCAAGATAGGAAGAAGGTAAGGTAGAAATAAGAACATGCACGATGTCTTTTTCCTTTTTAACATTTAATCATGAGAAAGACAGCTTTCCTTGAAGCCCCCTAGATGACTTCAGCCCAGATGTGTCATTGGGCTGAAGTGCAACAGAAGCCTCTGGAGTTTTTTCAGGCATTGGAAGAGCCAGCTAAGGGAATGGATATAGGCTATGTGTTCGCTGCTCAATGCATTTGTCACAGAGTGGGAAAGGGCTACAGGATGCAACAGACCTAACCCCATGGGAAGAAAGGCTCAAGTCTGAAGCGGCCCAGAGGGGCCTGAACCTGAGGGGACACTTGCAGCATCACTCTAAAGTAACCCTGTCTCGCTGATGAGAAGACAGGTGTTATGGGGGCGCTGCCCAGTTCTTTTTTAAAGGAGGCATGATAGGAAAATGGGGGTGAGTGGGCAGTTGCTTTTTCAGCTTTCAAGGATAAAAACAATAAGTCCAAGTTTCAACCAACTGCTAATCACAGCCCTGGGGTTGGTGGGAAAACGCTCTTCATGGCTTGCTCACACATGTGACAGCCACTGAGTTTCAGTGAGGGCACAGCCCCTGGCCTCTCCAAAAGAAGCTGGACCCCCCACTTGGGGTGAGAGCTCTCAAGAATGAGGGAAGCCAGCATGGGTCCTTGGGCATCGGTAAGAAGACGTCCAACAGGAACTGCCAGGCAGAACTGAATAACGAGGCATAAACTCAGAGGGGTATCCTGGATTGAGCTCCTTCAAGAGCCCAGTCCCCAAAGCTGCTGTCCTACAGTGTCTGTGAGGCAGACACTGGTACAGAAGCCACTGAGCATGGCTGTGTGCCCAATGAGAGGAGGGCACTGCAAGAAGGGTGCTGAGGTTCAGAGGTGGCCTTGGGGACAGCTGGCACCTCTGGCTACACCTCTGGCCAATCATGTGGGAGCCTGCATGAAGAGCTCAACTTCTCCTAACAGCAACTCCTGCTCAAAGCCATGACATCCCCCCATTTTTTTTTTTTTTTTTTTTTTTTTTACTTCCTCGAGGGCACAAGGACATAATGTCATTGGCTCCCCTTCAGCTTTCTTATCCTGGGTCACAATCAACTTCCTCGTCCTGGGGTCATTAGAGGTGGCCCTTTCCTGATGTGAATGTCTTCATGTGTTTGTGATCACAGAACACATGTGTCAATAGAGAGCTTTGTGCCACAGCTTCTTTTGCTGCAAGTGAGCCAGAAACTATCTGAATATCTCTCTCTAACAGCCTTCTGTACGTGTTACACCCCAGCATGCTACACCAAAGTCAGGGGCAAGCTGCAAGGTGAGCCCATGGGCTGATTCGTAAGAGACATACAGACCACAAGGAATATGCAGGGTCAACTATTGGGTCATCATAAGTCAAATAAAACACTCCTAAGACAACGTTGTTTTAAGAATTCTGTAGTCAGGGCTGGAGAGATTGCTCAGTCATTAAAGGCTAGGCTCACAACCAAAAATATAAGAATTCTGCAGTCAACACTGGTACAGTTTGGATTTGGTTTGTCCCCAAGAGGTCCACGTGATGAAAGGTTGTCCTCAAGATGGCACTACTGGGAGGCAGTAGACCCTTCAGCATGTGAAGCCTTAGTGAAAGGAAATTAGGTCACTGGGGATGTGCCTTTGAGGGGGTGTTGGAACCCTGATGTCACCCTTCTGTTTCTTTGTTTCTGGGTCACACAGAGAGAAGATTTTTGTAATACATACCCTAGTATGATGTGCTGCCCTTCCTCAGGCCCAAAAGTAACAGACCAAGCAACCATGGCCAAAAGCTCAAAAACTGTGAGTCAAAAGAAATCACCTTTAAAGGTTGGTTTAACTCTATAATTTTTGTTACAGTAACAGGAAGTCAACTAACACAACTTGGTAAATGTATCAAATGATCTTGAATTGTTCAAAATGGTTAAATTTGTATTATGTGAATTTCAACTCAGCCAGAGTAGGTACTAGGTGAGTGTTTCGTGAAGGTCCCAAGCTCTCAACTCAAAGCTGTGGCTCCTTTGTGACAATGGCAGTGACAGGAGCTGGGGCTTCACTGTGCTATGAGGAAGCCGAGCCAAGGAAGGAGCTCTCTCTCAGAAGCAGTGTGGTAAGAGGGTGAGGAGCTCTGCTGACTAAGACACCTCTTAAATGGCTTTTATGTTTTGTAATGTGAATAGTTTAACATTTTATATGAACATTCACAAAGTCACACAGCTACCATCACTATCACATTTCAGAACATTTTCACCATCTCAGGGAGAAACTGCAACAACTGGCAGCCATGCCCACTCCTCTCTCTCCCCACCTGCTGGGACTGTTAATCTTCTTTCTGTCCTCTCAGATATGCCATCCTGGACACAAAATATAAATGGAATTGTGTGGTCTTGTCCTTTCCTGCCTGGCTTCTTTCATTTGCTAGAATGTTTTCAAGGGTCACCAATGCTGTGGCACAAACAAGTACTTCCTCCCTTTCTTCCACTAGCTTTCAGGAGCTCATGCTTACAGTCACAGGGAGTCATCCCTGAACACTCAAGGTTTCTTCCTGGTATGAAGATGCGAGGAGGTGGGCAACAGAAGAGAGTCTCATGCTAGTGGAGCCCACAAGCATCCCCAACATTGCCGCCGTGGTCTGCTTTAGATGCAATATATGAAATAGAGATATTAGGGCAGACACATTAGCACAGATCCTAACTAGACAGATCAGTGCCTCACATACAATTCAGAACAGCTCTGGCCTTTTTTCAACACAGAAGCCCCAGCACACTCTCTGAATGACTATGTGGCCAAACCTGCTATCTACACAAAGGTAAGGCCAATGGCATCCAAGAAACGTCCACTAGACCTCTTTCTTCCACTAGCTTTCAGGAGCTCATGCTTACAGTCACAGGGAAACATGAATTCCTCACTCTTCACTGAGTGCTAACACCAACACTTTAAGCTTCTGAGGCTGGGACCCCTGTGTTTTATCTCCAAATGAATAAACTCATAACCTCCCCCATGTCTTTGTCACCTCCCTGTAAAGCTGATGTAATTCCTAACAGCTGACTAAAAGGCTTTCCCACTGGGTATAGCATCAGTTCTTCTTACAGAGTTTCTTCTATGCTCTCATCTTTACCTATTTAACAGGAAGCAGGCAAGGGGCTGTCATTTATACTTTCAGAAGAAGAAATGGAGGTCCCAGGAGGGCAAGTGATCAAGATTCATTGGTGAAAGGTCGAAAAATGAAATGAGGATCCTATCTGTTATCCCACTACTCTGGGTGGATTAGAAGGGCAGCCGATAAAACATTCCTTCCAGAGAAGTAGGAGAAAAATCAGCCCATTTTTAGGAGCCCAGATTTTGGAGCACACGTTTAAGCCCAAGGTGCATTCCTCCTGACACAAGGCCATGTTTCTAGAACATATCCAGCAGCAAAATACCTCAGGATGGTCAATTCAAATGCCCCCCTCCATGGCTGCATCTACCAACACAGACCAGAGCTCACTATAAACCAAGAAATAGAGCAAGATGGTACACATTCAATTTATGTGGAGGTCCAGAGGAAGACCAGGCCTTTTGTCATGCCAGGCTTGCTGAGGGCACATTTAATGAACACCCTACTCCCCCATCCCATCTCCCAATCAATCACACTTCTTACCCTCCCTTCGAACTTGGCGGTGGCTCCTTCTTTGATGCAGAGGTTCCGAGGGGGCAGAATGAAAGCAGGGGCCTCCGTGAGGGGCGTGGAGCTGACCCTCGAGGGATCCACACTGTGGGAGGTTCTGGACACGTGTGATGAGGCAACCAGTTTCATGTCCCCCATGGTCTACAAAAGCAAGAGGAGCGAGTCAAGTCTTAGAACATACAGCACGTTGTCTCCCTTGTAGACACCACTTGCCCAGCCCTGTGATTTGAGCTATAAGGAGCAGGGGCCCAGTAGGTCAGCATCTACCTGGAGTGCCTCTCTGTGCCACTCCTCGACCCCAGCCCCCAGGCCATGCTTGACATCTCAGTGCCACCAAGAGCTTCCATCTATCTGAGAGAACATGGCCTGGACAAGACCAGGAAAACTGGGTGGCTCACAGGTTTCACAACAGGCCTCTGAGGCTCATGCTCAACCAACATCTACATGAAGTACTATGGTGGGAAGTCCTAGATGCTTCTGCCTGAACTATAAGAGCTCATGGGCTAGGAAAAAAATGTCATCGAGACTCCAAGAAAGGCAGGAGATGGGAGTTAATATCACAAGGGCCCTGGGTAAGAAGGTGAGGGTTGGTGGCTGAATGAAGTGGGAGGGGGTGTCAATCCAGGGACTACAATGTAGACAGGCTCAAAGATCAAAACATCAAGGAAAGGAAGGAGGCGCTAGGGGGTCATCCAGGCTGACTCCTTCATTTATAACTACGGTCCAAAGAGGATAAACCATATATCAAAGGAGATAGAGCAAAACTATGCCATCACTGCCAAGAACACCTTGAACCCGGGATCCTGTCCCAGGTAGACAGGGACTAGACAAGATGTGCCTGCAGACTGGCAAGATTAGCTGGAACTAAAGGGCTGATGTGAAAAGGAACGATGGCTACCCTCTGAAGCAATCAACGTTCAACTCGTCTGAGTTGTTTCTTCTCAACTTTAAGTGTGTTTCAAGGAAAAATTAGAACACAGCAATGTGAATGTATAATAAATTATCACTTATTGGTGGGCTGGAAAGATGGTTCAATGGGCAAAAAGCATTTGCCACCCAAGCATGATGGCCTGAATTTGACCCCAGGTCCCACATGGGAGAAGGAAAGAAATGACTCCTTTACATTGTCCTCTGACCCCCACGTGCACACCATGGGACACATGAATATACATACCCAGTAAATAACATTTTACACTGCCACTTACTGAATGCTCACTCTGTTTCAAACACTGTGTGGAGGACCTCTGTCTATGATCTGAGCACATTTTAATTTTGGTTGACATGGCAACTGCATACACTTACGGGATACAATGTGATGTCTTGGTACATGGCATATGTACGTGCTATAAGTTTGGACAGTCAGCATATTCATCCCCTTGGACAGTCAGCATATCCATCACTTGTTTGTGGTGATGACACCTGGAACCTTTTCCCAGCTGTTCTGAAATGCACCTTATAGTTAACTACAGACGTTTCCCCACCGTGCAGAACTCCAGATGTTGCTCCTCCCATCTAACCTAATCCTAATACCCCATAGAGTGGACTCATCTTTATACAGGCTTTATGAGGAGCCTATGCTCATACACAGGCAGTGGCGGGAGTGAGGGTGGAGTCATGGTACATAGGCCAAAGGAGAAAACTAAAAATATCCATACTTCTATTACACAACATGGTGCTCTCTTGTGACTATAGAAAACTTGACATTTCTATAAATAAAAATAAAGTAAACCATATAGAAATGTCTCCTAAATTTTCCTTCTAAATTTTCTTAAAATTAAATTGACAAGAAGCTTTTAAGAAAGCTGATTTAGTTAGGTGGTGGTGGCACATGCCTTTAATCCGAGCCCTCAAGAGACAGAGTCAGGTGGATCTCTGAGTTCAAGGCCAACCTGATCTACTAC